CAGTTCGGACTTCCATTGTCTAATATAATATAAATTGATTTGAAATCCCTGAAAAAAAACAATTTTATTAAACAAAAAACTGAAATTATAAAGAAATAATATACAAGCTACAACCAAAAAATTGAAATATTAGTAAAAGCAGAAAATTGAAAATATTCCGTCTTCGGGTGATAACTGGACTTATTCCTTCGAGATCTGACTATTTATAGGTCATTCGAGTGCTTTCACCTATCCCCTTTTCCCTCTCTACGCTTCATTGGTTTTAGCGGGAGATGACCGTTTGGCGAGAGTTGGTCATTTTTCGCTTCATTAGAGGTTTCCATATGTTACGTATCTCTACGCTGGCTTCACTAAATGTTTTATTGTTGATTTTGTTGATTTTTTGAAGGGATGTCAAATCAATTTATATTATATTAGACAATGGAAGTCCGAACTGATGAAATCCCCATCAAGTTTATTCAAAATAACATCCACAACATGCTCATTGTACCAAACACTCAAATCCGTCTCCAAATCAATGATTTCATCACGAGTATTAAAATATTTTCTATCAATAATTTCCCCGTCATTCGGGATTTTAATGAGATCCCCCAATAGTGTCATGTTCACTTTGAGGGATTGCATCTCCTTCAAAAATTTGAAAATTCTACATTTGAAAAGAGAATATGCATCACTCAAAAATTTTCTTACTTTTTTGTGCGCTAAATTTATTATGACACCTGTTTCTAACTCTATTCTTAAGAATAGATTCACATTTTCCATTAAACTCTACTGCTTCGTTTCAAACCTGATCCAATATACTTATCATTTTTCATAACTTTTATTATGCATCTAATGTGTTTCAATTCCCCAATGTTACCTATTTCACCTAAGAATTCCATTTGTTTCATTTTTTCAACTCACATTTTCTAATATGTTTACTAATCAAATTTAACGAGGTTCGTGCAATGGAACTTGAATAATTTTGTTTGATTACGTCAAGCAATTTATCAATTTGCGATAAAGTTTTTGAAAACATCATTTTCAACTTACAAGATTTTTTTTGCGGCAAATGGATGCTTGCTGAACGCTCCAAATGGAAACTTTAAGTAGTCCGGTAGATGGGCTGAAGAAACTGCACAGGAACGACTTGTAAAAGCAACCTTGATGAAGTCACAAACGCAGATGATGCTCGAAAGGAAAGTTCGAACAAAAATATTTCTCTTGCACCGAGGAGTGAAAGTATATGGAAATGAAAAAGGAAAAAAATATTTCGAACGATTTTTTCACTTCATACAAAAAAAAATCAACAATACTAACCTCAATTTTCTACAATTTCGAACGATGTAGCCGGGTTGGCTTTGCCCACGTCTATTACACCTTTGAAAACAAGAGGTATTTTCCCCCTTGGAAATGTGAAATGAATGGCTCATATGTTGCGGTAACCCTCCTCGGTAAAAAACACGATATTTTTCTTCAATTCTTTGAGTACTGTCTTCCCACATTTAGTGGATACCATTTTGGCTGAGGACATTTGATGTGGCACTCCTAACTGAAGATGTTACAATTTCATAATGGGTTTTTCCTCTAGAACGGAGATAACGTTGATTGTATTAAAATCCATCTATAACAAATAAGATGATTTTTTTTGACACAACCACTGAAGTGCACAATTTTGAGCAAAAATTTGAGAAACTTCTTGGAAAACGGAAAATTTCCTATTTCGCATTGATAAATGTAATTCATTGTCTACACAAACAACGAAAGCGTAAAACTTTGAACAAAAATTTTGAAAACTACTCAATTGAAATCGGTTCACTGAGTTTCGACAATAAAAAGCATGATTATACAAAGATTTTGAAAATAAATATTGTACTTACATCTGATTATTGACGATGATGCACACATACAAACTAAACAAGACAATCTTTGCTGCTGCTAAGTTAATCGAAAACTGAAGCTTATTGTTCGTCCTGACTTGTTTTATTACTCTGGCGTGATGACAAAACAACATTCGAGAATTTTTGATATGGAATAAATAACCGTTGTCATGCAGATAACAGAAAAAAAACCCCCTTTATCATATTTTCTCCTCGATTCACTGCCATCGTATATTTCCTGTTTCAGCTTATCGCAAGTTTTCTGTTTTCGGCTTTATCAATAAAGAGATCAATTATGCATAACTGTTTTATATATTTTCTTCGACTTGAAATAATACAAAAATTCGTGAATATTCAACTATTTACTATTTGTAAGGTTTTTCCATTGTGTTTCGGGGAAGTTTTTTTCAATATTCTCTTTCAAACACTGGTGTCGCTTTGCAAAGGACTTGATATAATTTCTAACGGATTTTATAATTCCAATAGTATTTGTATCTGTAGAGTGGGGAGGGTGAGTGTAGGCCCACAGCACTTAGGCCACATGTGAACCATTGTACATCCTCTCAAGGAGTTGTTCTCCTAGGTCATCGTCAATCCTGTCCTTTCCAGGAAGGTGGACAGGTCACTAGGAGGCATCTCCTTTATATCGGCAGGTGTAGGCCAAGACTCGCTGAACACACAGTCTTTTATTGATGATAACACTCGCATAGGACATGCCTGACAGTTTCATCTTCCTGTTCACATATCCTGCATAGGGGGTGTGTCACTAGCCCTATATTATGGAGGTATTTTCTTAGTTGACAGTGGCCAGTCAGAACTCCTACTGTTAAGCGTAGATTTTTCCTGGTCATCGCTAGATATTTCTTCGGCGCCAGCTTGCTTGGGTCGCCCAGGGTCATCCTAGCAAGATTGCAACCTTTGATTTCATCCCATCTTTTTAGGGATTGAGCATGGGTATAACATTTGGCTAGTTCCGCAATTGTCGAAGTCATCAGGCCGTAGGTGCCACTGGGTCCTAACATTCTTAGTGCAGCCGCTTCCTTGTCGGCAATGCGATTACATTTACGCCTGTCGTGCCCTTTAATCTACCCCATGATAATGCTATTATCTACCGAGGCTTTGGCTAAATCTTGGTAGCACTCTAGTACTAGTCCTGAGGTAACACGTCTGTTCTAGGCTAGGCGTGTCTGCTATCAGTGCAGATTGTTATTTTTTTGCCAAAAATTCTTTTCCTGGTTATTTCTTTTGTGGCAATTGAAATACCAGCCAGTTATGTTTGAACCACGCTTGTATTTTTTCTCATTCCCCACTCGATCCTTAGGCTTAGTGATCTGGAGTACATTCCATATCCTGAGCCTTCTTTGGTTTTTGAGCAATCTGTATATATGCGTATTGCATTTGTAGCATCTGAATCTATGCTTTGTTTTATTTGTATTTTGTGAGGTTCATTAAACACAAACCTTGGTAAAATTGCATCACTGGTTGCCTGCAGCAGAGGTTGCGCAGTAAGCGCTTCTCGCCATAGGCTCAGCCTCAACTGACCCATTCCTACTTCAAGGTGTACACCAACCGTGTGCAATCGTAACATGGCTATTAACGCAACCTCCTATACGTACAGGTTCAGAGGAGACAGACCAGTAATTAATTCCATTGCCGCGGTTGGTCTTATTCTCATGGCTCCTGTGATGTTCAAACAAGTCAATCGTTACATTTGATATAATTTTTGGATGGCCATTGGATGGCCGTTTGGATGGCCCCCTTGATCCCCCCTGGCTACGGCCTTGGAAATCACGAAATTCATTTTAAGCATTATTAGTGGCATTTAAATTCTTCGCAATGGATATCTCGCTTGGGGTACTTTTCGATCGACCACTCTACTCTTCAACTTTCCGGATGTATCCGTCAAATGACATTTCAATACTGACTATTTCATCTGCTCAATGATCTTAACATACTTTCAAACAATAATATTACCCACTCGCCTAATGTCGCGGGTTTTCTTTGACATCTTCCACCTCCTCATCTAATATTTGATAACGCTGCACGCTCTAAAGGCATCATTCCAAATGAAGCCCATTCAACTGCAGTCTCCATAATGTTGATATTTTGTATAAAATGCATGCTTCATACCTATGTTTTTCATTTTCATATTCTCCAGTAAACATTGTGAGGCTAGATTACCCACATCCCACTCCTTTCTTCACTAATAAAAAAGTTAGCCTCCTATGTCTGTTACACTTTTGAAAATGCTTTAATATGTTTCTTGGCATCGAGACAATCCATTGATATCGAAATTATCGAAATCGGAAGACCGGAAGTGATAACCGGAAGTGATAACCGGAAATGGTTATTTTATTGTAGATTCGGACTCTATCTGTATTTTTATAAACAGAAAGTGTTTTTCTTTCGATGAAATATTTTTTCTTTTACACTGTATATGTATATTAAGATGGCAGTCACGTTATTTTTCTTTAACGCTGGCAACCGTCTTTTTCTCTTCAACGCCACACCCTGTACACCCCCATGGCAACTTTTCTTCAATGCTGCAAACACACCCTGTACACCTCCATAGCAGCCATGTTTTTTTCTATAACACTGCACACAACATGTATACCGCGACGGCAGCCATGTTCGTTTTTTTAACGCTGGCAGTCATGTTTTTTTCTTCAAAGCTACACACCCTGTATATTCGATTGATATGTTTTGAAACGACACCCTGTACACCTAATATTATTGCTCTCATAAGCACACTCGAATTGTTATGCCTTACACAGCGATAACGGCACCGCTAACAATGATAGCCACTTCAGCCCCAGTTCTCTTATTATTCATCTACTCGCGTACATAAAACATATTGCGTTTAATTGTTCAATATTATAGAATTACCTAGTGGATAAAGTCGTCGATAATAAAAGTCGTATGGAACCAGAACAGAAATAATAACATCGATTTCGAACCTATTGCCCATATTTTTTGATATTTCTGATTCCAGTAAGATGGTTCTACTTATGATGCACTGTTTGGAACATTTGGTGTAGTAGATTAAAGTTTTAATCTTCCTCTTTGAAGATGATCACCTGGTGATCGAAACACGTGTCGAGGTGTTAAAAATAACGATTTGATGTTGGAAAAAAACTCCAGTAATATTCAAGATGGTTCTAATTAATCCCAAATACTGAGAGTAATATAATATTATAATTGCATAAGAGTAGAGCGCAAACTCTATTGATTTCAAACAAATTGCAATCCTCAAATATGCAATAATATAGTGAATGTCATGAGGTAGATTAATCAAACATGTGGCTGAAATATTAGTTTAGGTTAGGTCCAAAGTGAATGGGTTATTCGACCCGCCACCGTAATGTTACCTGAATTATCAATACCCCATCTGAGATTGATAGATCAGGTGAAATTTTTGTTATTTCAGATATATTTCAGATAAACTCATATTTTCAAAAATCTGTTAGGACGCCTCTACTTCTATATAGTCTTTATCCTAAAGAAAAAAGTATGAAGATGTCTTCCTTTCATGTATTCAAGATATCAGCAAGGTGTTTGTACACAAACCTCTATAACTGTGCAAGAATATACGATTTCAGATCTTCATTCTTGTCATGACATATTGTACACGATTCTTTCACTGTTTTCGACATCCAGTTTGTTTTATTATTTTCTTGTTCCTGTTCACATTTGAAAACGTTTGTTAACATCGATTTGTTAACATTTTAATTTAGGCAAATTTACAAATTTCTCCATGATTTCAGGGCTGATTGACTAACTCCATTTTGTCTCCAGTGGTCGATAAGGTGGTAAAAACTTGTTATGTACGGTGTGTGAAAATTCGATGCACATGGGAACACCCCCTCATTCTTCTTGCCCATACCCTACATATGATAGAGACGGATATTAGGGTTGCCTACAAAGCTTGGAGCATGTAGTTGTGAGGACAAATCTATAATCTATATCGATATCTAGATCGTGATTTCTGATGCACTGAACAATTTCTTTTTGTACTTCGTATTTTACATATTATATACATAGAGTTGTGACCAAATGAAAATATCAATTTATTATTATGAATGAACATGATTCAGATGTTCATTATACGATTATTAATTGGAAAAATTTATGACTGAATTTATTGCGAAAATAATGGTTACTCACCGGACTATAATTTAATGGAGCTCTGCTGACAGCAATAGCCGGAAAGCTACTGGGCTGAGGACTGGCAGCTTGGACGTACCCCACGCTATCTCCGGCGCTGCTGTTGTACATATCGATAGTGGGACCCGGCGAATTGGCGGCCGGGAACCCGCCCCTGGTGTTGGTGGCATGGGGTGAAGTCGGCGGGCCGAAACCCTGAGCTGCCGCTGCTGCTGCAGCCTGGTAGTTGTTCATCACTGCAAAGGAAACGGAGAAGTGGTGTGGTTGGGGTGCAGATGTACTCTGATGGTCGGCTCCTGAAGGCTGCTGCTGCGTCCAACTGGCACCGGATGACCCTACGGGACACAAATACACTCTCCTGGAGCCGACCGAAGCCGTTTTCTCTTTTCCAAAATGTTCAATATTTTTCAATCAGCTCATAGACTACCAATACATCTACTGCCACAAATGAAAAAAATCGTGGGGTATTTATAAATGAGGTATATTGTTTTTAGATAATACTAGTTTTCGGAAAAAATCTTTTGGAATTTCACTTCTCCATAATAATAGAGAAGTGGAAAACTTTCATAATTCAAAGTTCATATATTTGAAAGTATTTGTTTTGGGATATATTTTTTATTTCACTTCAAATTTGAATGAAAATGTGCGTGTACACAACTTCATAAAGAGTTTTATTGATTCATTCGGTTTTTTTTTTCGAAAGTTTCACAATTTTTTATAACCATGGAGAAGAATATGGTTGAAAGATTTTTTTTCAATGAAAATCATCCCCCATCAAATATGTCACAACAGCATAATTCTTGAGGAATACTTGAAGCAGAGTCGTGTATTATATCTTTAGTCCTCTGAAATTACGACATTTTCTCATGTTTCGTAATATGATTAATGAAAGAAAGAAAGAGACAGATCTGAGGTACATATGTTTCGTTATCTTCTTGTAACATTTATTTTATTCAAAATGTAAATTTTGAATTACTCAATAACAGAGTTGAAAATACTACTTTGTCCAAAAGTACATAAAAAAAATATCAATTAGATGAAATATTTCAAAGGATTTAGGTCTATTTGGTCACGGTGAACTTTCATTAGTTATATTGAAAATGTTTCAATAAGAAGTGAATGGAGCCCATATTAGATTTCGCGGTCTGAAAATTTCAATAAAAAACAAAATGTCAGTTGCAAACCCAAGCTTCGACATCTACCTTCGGAAGAGATTCGTCCTCTTTCTTCCACTGCATATTTCTCTGCAAGGCAGCTAGATTCAATCAGAGCCTTCAGACAAAGCATTTAAGATCTAATACCAAACAGTGCTGTTTCGACCCGCCAAGGTATCATCAACGGTGCTAGGCTGAACCACAAATGAAGTGTTGGACTCAACCCAAAGTGGATAGAGGGAATTATATCTCCTTTTACGCCTTGATGACTCTCATTTACTATGAATATTAGTGAATTGAGTCTTCTATCGATCCCTTAGATGTAATTCTGGTGGGGGGAGATATCATTGCCTAAGAATTTTAAGAATAGTTGAGTCCACCTAAGCATTCGTTTTTCAGCTTAGTTCCAATAATGAAACCTTGATGGGTCGAAACACCTATGTCGAAACACCTATGATGTTGAATCATGAATGTTTTGCTTTGGGCTATGGTTTCATCCAGTTGCCTTGTAGTGCAATAAAAGGACAAATCTTGTTCGGCGGTCGATATCAAAGATGGCGAGGTCGCTCTTGAATAGGTGGATGGAAGTTTTCACTGGGTCGACAATTACAATAATTTTTGGTGAAACGGATTTTCCAACATAATATTTCGCAAGTTCTGAATATAAGTCTCATTTATTTGCCTATATTGCAACAAATCATAACTTTAATTTCAATTTATAATTTCTTTCAAATTTTCGATTTGGTGCTACTGCTAAAATATTTTATTTTGAATCAAGGTTTTCATTAAGTTTTCTATCCTAATAGAATCAAGAAGATATCAATTTCCTTAATGTCAATAGCATTGTCTTATCTAGATGTCAAAACATTTCATCACGAAAATATTGATGTATCAGTTTGTTTCATGGAAACTTTGCTACATCTTATACTTTCATAAGTGGATACTTATAAGAAAATGTAACTTTAAAGAACAATTCGAATGATTGAAATGTAAGACATCACTCATTTCGCTTTTTCCAACACTGCCTAATATTTTACAAAGGTATTCGACTCATATTTACTACATTTCAAATTCAACATAACAAATACAGTATGCAAGATAGGACCTATTTGATAAACTTCCGTTGGCATGAATAATAATGATTCTTTCATTATCCGCACGATATGATAGAACAACTTGATATCTCAGATGTTGATGTTGCATAGCAAATCAATAATCATGCATAAACAATACATATTACTGGAGTTTTTTCACAACACCAAATCGTTATTTTTAACACCTCGACACGTGTTTAGATCACCAAGTGATCATCTTCAAGAGGAACATAAAACTGGAAACTTCGCGAAACTAAAGCTATTTATGCTATACAGATATATCATACAGGTAAACCATACAGGTATACCACCCTAAATTAATTTTACAATTAGCCTTATCTATTATTTTACACTATGTCCTTATGTAATGTTTAAATGTTACAGATATATATAAAACGATTTTCAGCTATATGAAAATTAATTTCACAATATTGCCTATCTAAATATATTTACAATGTGTCCTTACTCCAGTAATCAGTAAACCCAACAATATTATTTCAACAAGCTAAATAGTATGCTATTTGGTATTGGTCGGTCATCGTTATTCATAATATTATTATGTTTACCTATTTCTACTCTCTCATCGGCATCTAGTTGCTTGTTGTTGTTAACTTGTCTAACTAATCTCAATGAACTGAAGTCTATGGAATGGTTTTGTTGCAAAATATGATGGGCGACTGCTGATTTTTGAGGTCTTTCATATTTTAAGTGTGCTATGTGCTCCTTATATCTCACTTTAATAGATCTTTTTGTCTGTCCATAATATTTTGCATCGCATCTATACATTCAGTTTCGTAAATTCCAGACTTTTCCGAATTCTCGACTTTGTCTTTTGGACTCTCCAAAAGGCTCTTTAGTGTATGACTTGTTTAAAAACCACCTTCATACCTTCATTTATCTTGATAAATATCAAGAAAATACATCTCAGTTCCATACCACCAATATACGAAGAACTTTGGAAAGATTTTCAAGGAACAAGATAAATACATCATAATGATAATTATCAAGATTGAAAAGTCCGGAATTTACGAAATTGAATGTAAGGACTACGATGCAAAATATTATAAACAGACAAAAAGATCTATTAAAGTGAGATATAAGGAACACATAGCACACTTGTAATATGGAAGATTTGAAAAATCAGCAGTCGCCCATCATATTTTGCAACAAAACCATTCCATAGACTTTACAGTTCATTAAGATTAGTTAGACAAGTTAACAACAACAGGCAACTAGATGCCGATGAGAGTGTAGAAATAGGTAAACATAATAATATTAGGAATAACGATGACCGACCAATACCAAATAGCATACTATATAGCTTGTTGAAATAATATTGTTGTATTTACTGATTACTACATAAGGACACATTCTAAATATATTAAGTTAGGCAATATTGTGAAATTAATTTTTATATAGCTGAAAATTGTTTTATATATAGCTATAACATTTAAACATTACATAAGGACATATTGTAAAATAATAGATAAGGCTAATTGTGAAATTAATTTAGGGTGGTATACCTGTATGGGTGGTACACCTGTATGGTTTACCTGTATGATATATCTGTATAGCATAAATAGCTTTAGTTTCGCGAAGTTTCCAGTTTCATCTTCCTCTTAAAGATGATCACTTGGTGATCGAAACACGTGTCGAGGTGTTATGTACATATGATGTACTGGTGTTATGTACATAAACAATACAGTTTTCAAGCAAATCAGTCTAGTTCATAAGTACCATTTCTTTTGATTCCTCATTGATAGATTCAAAGGTATAAACAACTTAGTTTACTGGAAAAAGTGATTTGTTTATTGTGAATATTTCAAAAATCTTTTCAGATCCAAAATTTTTAAGAAGATACTGAAATAGCAGAAAATTCACTAAACAATGTCCTCTTCCCAAAATTGTAATGCCAATATTTATAGTTTTAATGATCGCTACAACATTTTTTTCAACCCATTGAATGTGAGTATTAGGAAACTGAACCATAATTAGCTGACAATATTTTGTTCCAAGTTGAAGGTATATATAAAAAACTTGATAATTCATAAATTCAAAGACTGGATTTTTTCTTCCTTAAGCAAAAATCTATTTTTGAAAAGTTGAATAATTCATTTTCCATTCGTTCATGAATTATCAAAGATTTTGAATAAAAAAAACCATTGAATACGTTTTTTTTCAAATATTTGGATTGATTTGTTTTCTAATGATATATGATTTTTCAAAACTTTTTATTCTCATCATTTCAATCATTTTTATAAACGAATGTATCTGAAAATATGATAGTCAAATATTTTTTTCAAGTTGAAAGTTTATATAGAAACCTTGATTATTATTAAATTTGAAGACTGGATTTTTTTTCTTTAAAAAATATCCATTCTGGATCCATTTTGAAAAATTCATTTTCCATTCATTTATGAATTATCGAATTATTTGGATACAATCATTTTCTAATATTTCCATTGATATGTTTTCTCAATGATAAAGGCTACATTGATATGATTTTTTTAAACTTTTTATTACCATCGTTTCAATCATTTTTATAAACGAATGTATCGGAAACTATGATAGTCAAATATTTACTCGAAAAAATGCTTTTGAAAAATTTCAATGCCTAAAAGTGCATTTCAATCAAATATTCATATTTGCAAGTGGTTATTTTCATTTATATTTTAAAAAAGAAGTATGAAAATTCCTTCGTTAACAGGTAATTGTTCATCAAACAAACAAATGAAAAATTTCAAATAATAAGATCTTTTTTCGGAATATAATGGTTATTAATTATTATCGATTCACTATCAAAAATTAATAGTTGATTGATCAATGATTTCTTATGTAATGAAAAATTTTGAAAAATGTGTTTTTCCAAATTAATAATTGATTGAAAGATTATCCGATGTTTCTGGGTGTAATAGCCGTGGTCTGGAGGTTTTCATTAGAAGGATCCTGGAAAAACATGGAGTTAGAGCAATTTTCAAGTCCACCAGAACGAAAGATTATAGTCTCAGGTCAACTAAAGACTCCAGAAATACATTTAAGCCGCCAGAAATCCTATAAGTAAACCAGGAGGAACGATGAAAAGAAACGTTATAATGCAATTGACTAGCATAAAAAGTTGCCGCTATGGCAACAGATAAAATCGGCAGTGGCAGAACACGCTCTCTCAGAGGGCAGACATGACATTGCCTTCGAATGCACGCAAGTTTTTGATAAAACCAGCTGGTACTATCCGAGGCTATTCAGAGAGGCTATAGAAATACTTGAACATAAGAATAATTTCAACTGTAAGGAAGAGAGTTTGAACATCAAGAAGACATGCATACCGGCAATTCATAACACACAGACTCTTTCAATAATCGAAAAAGGGTCTTAGGTACAAGAACCGTCCGACATCTAGTCCCATTAAAAGTTCAAACGCACCAGGACCATTTTCAGTTCGTGCATCGCCGCAAGGTAGATCACTTCTACCGTTGTCTGTATCACAAATCCGATCGCCAGCGAATGTGATTTTTGATGATGGACCTTAATATCAACCTCAAAATGAGTGGCGCATAAGCTCAAGGAGGAGGTGTCAGAAGAACAACAACTGACTGAAAGTATAACTAACAACTGGCGAGATCTCAACAAAATCGTGTCTGTCTCCCTTTCTCGGCTGGGTCGTGAGGGCGCGTCTTGTTCGGGGTTTCTTTTTTTCTCCCCTCTTCAATTCTTTGGAGTGGTACAGTAAATATTGTAAATAGTAACGTTGTAAATAAAGGTTTTTGATTTTTTTATTTCGACTTCGACCGTTGTCGCATCGCTTTTGATTATATCTGCCGCAGTAGCAGAAGAAACGTCAGGTATAAAAACCTTCAGACGACGACTAATAAACCCGGAAACATCAAATGATATTTTTGACATCAGCCGTAAAAGCCATGATCAACTATAAGATTATTAGATCCCCAACAAATTCAAACATATCAGCGTACCTTTCATCAGTAGGAAAACAGACTAATCTAAATATTTGAAAAAAAAAATTAATTCTTATGAGATGAGTTCAAGAAAGTTATAAACATCATCAAGTTATGGACAGTTGCTTTGAAAGTTTTTGTCAGCTCATTACTGTTCATTCAACTTTCCACCAAGTAACTCATTTTTTATTCCTTAGTATTCACACTTAATTAGTTGAAATATTTCTTTTTGTTAAAACGACAGAATTGAGTCGTGAGCCTTGAGCGCGAGCCTTAAGTAGCCCTCCTTTTTCATATGCTCAAGTGAAACTATAAATATTGGCGCTACAGTTTTGGTGCGTGAATATTTTTTAAAACATCTTTATCCAATTTTAAAAATCTGTAATAGTTCTTGAGATATTTGCAAAAAATCAACAATTCTTTTTATGTCTCACTATTGTTCATAACTTTCGAACTATTTGTTAGCGCAATTTGCCTCAAATTGTAAATTACTATTTGTGAAATTTCGAATCGAATGACATTTCCATCATAATTATTGGTGAAGGCTAACTGAAATTTTATGATGGTACTTGTGAAATATACTAAATTATGAAACAGGATAAAAAATTGTAAAAATGTGGAGGTTCTAACTATATAGGAGTATGATGAAACGATGATTACCTGACAATGCTTGAGTCAAGAGCGGAGTGTTATTATTCGGAGTGAGCTGTCCATTGGTTAGATCCACTGAAAACAGAGACAAACTCGATATTACAACAGAAAAGTCGAAACACGTGGAAGTGTGTATTATGATATCAAATAAATTTTCTGCATCCATATGGATTTGACATGAACTCATTTTTTGAGAAGCAATAGATTTGGATATCAAGAAATTTTGTTCCGAATAGAATTTGGAACGAAAATTGGACAACTTGAAAACTGCATTTTTTAGGAAAAATTAAAAAGTTTTAAGATTATATCTGAACAAGTGTACAATGATGAGCTAAGAATATCACATTCTCAATAATTTATATATTCATGTCATATCCACAAGTAATTTTACATCCAATCTATTTCGAGAGAAAATGAGGTATATGACGATATCAATATTTTTTTTATGTTTTACACAAATTTGGGTTATTACAAGTTGACTACATGAGGATTTGTTTGTGGAAACACGATGTAACTGTTTTCAGTTACATATGCCTATGTTTTCATAGGCATACAAAAAAGAGGAGGACTCCTATAGAGAGCCACGATGATATTCCAAGTATTTGTACCTATTGAATACGAATCTGAATATGCTGAGATGTGAATTGGCCTAAATGAGAAAGAAGTCTGAATAAATGAACTTTGAACGTTCAAGCCAGTCTCGGAAATATCTTCACAGAACGTTGAATAGACTGACGCCTATCAGAAAACAGCTTCTCCCCTGGGTAATACCACGAAGGGAGTTGGATTATATCCGACAGGCGTCAGTGCAGGAATCTTCACAGAAAATTTCCTGCATATTCAATTGGCAATACAACTGAGAGAGTCGACCTTCAATTTTGAAACGGGCACACTTGCAGACCGGTTTCGGCTCATTAGCCACTCGTCAGTGCAAGATAGTTGCCATCATCGACCTAAAATCAATGATATTCCATAATTGAAAATCTGAATTCTTTCAGAGTATTTCATTCCTCTTCCTAAGTTGGAGCGAACAACAAAATGCCACTCCATCTAGTGGACGAGGTACTAACCAACTGCATTTGCGAAATTTGCCCGATTCCTGCAGGAATATTCACAGAAAATTTCCTGCGAAGATTCCTGCACTGACGACGCCTGTCGGATATAATCCAACGCCCTTCATGGTATTAGCCAGGGGAGAAGTTGTTTTCTGACAGGCGTCAGTCCATTCAACCTACTGAGTAAGTATTTCCGAGACTGACTTGAACGTTCAAAGTTCATTTCTTTAGATTTGTTGATTATATTATTTATTCACTCTCAAATGATTCAAATTAAAAAAAATATAAGGAACTGAAACTGTATACAAACGATAACCAATTCGAGCGCGGTAATATTTCATTGAATCAGTATGAATTACGTAGCACCTAGTTGAAAACTGGATGAACCTATAATATCACAGTAGGTAAATAACGTTTCAGAAAGGTTAGGTAGGGTTCTGAAATATGGTATAATACGGCTGTTCAGTGAAAAGTGTATTGTGTTTCAGGTTTCATTCATACGTCTAGAAAAATACTTTTCCCAAATTCTTACACAGCCTTCTATAATTATGTATACCTATAATACATACGTGGATGATTTCTTCAATACAAATCAGCATGACATTTCTTGGAAAAGTTCTATTCAATGTTTAGAAGGTGATTCATAAACGGATCTACAATGGACTGTTTAGACTAAGGCCTTTAACACTGTCCATACTTCTCACGCCTCACTTTGGTATTTCTACATTTACGAAAGTATACGATAGTTTAGTGTCGTGTACCGATCTCAACAATTACAAGTAATTTTTATCTATTCTATTACCGACTTCCAAGAAAGCTTATTGCGTGACATGACAATTTTCTTGTCTACGAAATGAGGCCAAGTCAAAGGTTCGTAGTTAGTATAAAATACTATAAATTAGTTTATCAAACTCTTGCTGAGGAGAGTACTAGAGTTTAATTGTGTGGATATAGAGTAATCGTTGAATAACTTCAACGGCAGAGATTTAAATTGTTCTTTTCAATATCAAAATGATCACTTGGTGATGATATTTTAGCCCATATATAAATTTTACCAAAAATTCAATATTCTTCAAATGAGCGCATTTCTTATTTGGTCGTGTTGAAGTTCACCTTTTTTTAAACAGGGGTGATTTTCATCAGTTTATGCTGAATTTACATGAAAATAGTATGTGATGAAACTATACCGCAAGAGGATTCGCATTCATTACGTCAAAATACCTTTCTATTTTGTATGCCTGTGAATTCAATAAAACCGGTTCTGGTAATATGACAGTAGTTCACGTGGAAATATTGGAAAAAAATTCGCCACTCATGAAGTAACTTCATAATATTTCCCTTACAAAATTTTGATGAGTATACAAAAAAATTTGGCCTGTGGATAAGGGACTAGTATTCAGAAAGGAGAACAAATTTTAAAAGGCCACTCATCAATATCAAAGTTGAGGTAGAATTGTGAGCTAAATTAATATACTTGTATGGTTGAATCAATAAGACAAAGAATACTCTGCTTGTGTCCCATATTATCAAAACTATATATTTCAGTAACTTTAGTCAAAATATTCCATTATTAACGGTAACTTTTCCATCTACTGTATGACAGTGTCACCCATACTTTATATCAACGGACAACTAGAAGCGACAGTTTACCATGCCCTCAGAGGAACATTTCTACGAGTATATGCACACCCATTTCAAGACATGTAAAGCTGTCCTCATGATTCGTATTGAATTTATTTTTGTGGTTTTCCATCTATCATCGTCGGACAAGGTTCAATACAAAACATGTCTACACATTTTTATTCGCGGAATTTTCTCTCGAAAATCATATTTCAGAAGCGAAGGATATCGATTGGAAGTTTTATACGCTATTCGATGAATTGGTTATATGTTTGGTGATGTGTGCTAGGAATGTTCACAAAAAATTACTGATAACTAAGTTTGCTATTATGTTAGGTGAAACAAAACATTGTAACTAAAAACAGTATTTTTTCTGATCTACACATTAACTAAATCTATCACACATAAGCCCAACTGATGTTATTTCTATAAAAATCAAGAACTGTTATCCGAAATATAATTATTAACACGTCTCTACTCTAAATCACTGTTCTAAGTTTCTACACACTATTTTCTATATTCTAGTACTCGTTATAACATTTTGAATTATATATCACGGGATGACAGATGTATAAATGATGCTCAACTTCATTTTACATTTGTCATAAACATTTTCATAAAAATCTAGATCTATACTTTCGTTAATATCTCTACAAAAGGCTACTTCTATATCACTATATTAAACATCGCAAAGTATGAAAAATCTAGTAATTGTCAAATTATCACATGACTGCTAAATGTCACTGCACAAAATATTAGTAGAATTACTCGCCCCTTGTTATAAATGCTGTAGTGTTCCAACATGGCGTCCGCTTCTGCACGTCACACACTAAGTCAACACTTGAAAGTGATCTAATGTTGTCTCATTGGGAGCTTCAATATTTTTTTTGCAAATTTCACACCTGAATCCAATATTACTCAAAAAACTTACACGAAATCAAAGTGTCTGGGAAAAATACTATACCAATATCTTCATAAATACTACCCCTTTCCACATTGTATCTTCACGAGACACTTGAAAAAATCGTCTGTATTCAATTCCCAACGTTCAATTTCCTTTCGAAAGTTTATAACTACATTTTGATACCTTACAAGTTTAACCATTTCACTTGAATTGGGTGACAAATAATAAAACCATTATTCACTTTGCGAAAATTATTTGAGGCAGGCTTTCATTATGAATGCATTTATTGGAGGTGAATCTACTGCTTTGTTACCGTCCAGTGGCACCTGTGATTTCCTAATATGAGTATTCACTGTCTAACATCTCAATAATGTCTTACAGGTAATTGATACTCATACGGGCATAATAATAAATGCCTCCAAGTCAATAAGCAACGCTAACTGACGGAATTGGTAAACTGATGAGAGCTTGTCAGAATATCGAGGTCATTTGCAAGTCTACCAGATAGATAGATATACTGTAACGTTTCTCAAATGAATCCTAAAATTCACTCCTAACCTCAGGTCTATTCAGATTTGTATATAAACATTAGGAAATCATCACAACATGAAAATCAAGCTCATCGAATATCAATCATGATGAAAACTTGCTCAAACAAAAGAATCTACAGTGGCATTGAACTGTCAAATGCTGTAATATATTGATCAATCAGTCAATCACAGTACAGCAGACATCAAGTGTCCGGGTGTAAATAATATCACAAAAACAGTCACTGGTCACAGGTTTTCGCTCGTCAAGACATTGCCCATAACTACCACCACATCCAATGATGAAGATAATGTTTGTTTAGAGGTGAACAAATATTTTTTTCTTAATATCAATATTTTTAATTGATCGAATATTTTTCCACTAATAAAGTCATCGAAACGATGACAACGGAAAAGATAAAGTTGATACCTTCAGCTTCGAATAGAATGAATGAAGAACGTGAATAAATTTCCATAAACGAGAAAAGAATACGTCACCAAGGTCACTCAGTAATAATTCGAAATCAGTCATTGAGCACAAACCTATTGACAAAGACCAAATTTTTCACGTTGAATGAATGGCAGTCATTTATTCCTGAGAGAAAACAGGCGGGATAGGGTGATAAATTATAATATAGATGTATGAACGCGTGTAGAGAAGACAAAGAGGCAAACAATGTGACGTCTGAAGTATTGAAAATTAATCAAGTTTAACGCATGTGGTGTTTGTACCATGGTGATTATTCAGAAAATTAGAATTATAGACGGCGGTAGGGCCTCTAATGAATTACTGGTGTAATTGAAATAGCTAGATGACGCTAACTGATAGTGTCAATTAACAAAGACAATGTAACCCTTACTGCAATACCCAATTGTTTAATGGCGAAACCCGAATCGAAAATGAATCTTGAAAGGAATTAGTTGCTTCATTGTCGAACATAAATTTACAGGGATCAGGCAGGAATAGGT